GTGAGAAAATATTATTTTCTCATTCTGATATCTTAGAATGCAGATTCTAAAAGGTTAAGCTACACTGTCTTAAGTTTGAGAAATGTAATTCATGTCTCTATCTCTCTAAATCCAAAGCCCATGCTCTTGCTACTAGATCACCCCTGCTGGACATTTCCATAGGGCCAGAGAATAATTCCACTAGTTTCTTCTACACAAGGTTTAGAAGAACTCTCGTTAAAAATTTTACAATCCTTGAATATGCTATAAATTTGTTAGATGTAGGAAGGTTTGTAAAAGAGGATTAGAGATTTAGCTTTCTTTTGTAGTGGCCTATACAAAGATTAAAAAGAAAGAACATTGGTTCAAGGAACACCAGAAAAGGATGAGATTTGTGTTCCATAGATACTTGAATTAGTAGGCTACTTTTTCAAGATAATAGACTGAATTACTTCACTTTCTCCAATTCATAAAAAAGGAAAATAAAGTGAAATAAAAATAATATGCTCATGAAGGCATGGATATCCTGAAAATGGACAGCACTTGGAATCATACCAATGATGAATTCAGAGCACATGGAGCCGCAGCTCAGAGCTCATACTGGAGAAGGCTGCAGTGGAGGACAGAGCTTTGCGTTCTGGTGCAGCCGTAAACCAAAGACTGAAGAATCTGCTTTCTGATTTCCATTCAGGTGGTCTTCTGGATTTCATTCTTTACTCTCCAACCCCTCTCTGCCCACATTCCTGCAAACGAGTCCAACTCAACATGCCACCACACACACAGACTTTAATTCAGATCTCTCTCATCCAGGCGGCAGGTACACAGTAAGACACCTTTGTTCATCAACCCAGTTTTTTAAGCATATATATGAATATACAAAAAATAATTATCAGACATGAAAGCACAGATGAGCAAATGTCACATGAATTGACACCAGAAGCAGGAGATGTTTCGGAGAAAAGAAGAGCACCTGTGAAAACATTATTGTTAATATCATCAGGGGGAGTTTAGAAGACAGTACACCCATTAAACAAGGAAAGGCTAGTATGGAAAAGAAACAAGCGGAGAGCAAGAAAAGTAACGGATTTTGGAAGAGTCTTAAGAGTAATTAAGACTCAGCTATTGAACTCCGGGAAGTGAGAATGAGGCACACTTGGAACTTGTGGATTAAAAGAAATTTTAGGAGAGGTATAGAAGCGGAAAACATACAGGAAAATTTCTTATTAAAGATAAAAATATAAAATGTATATAGATAGCCACATACCTGATAATAGTAGATACTCTCAATAATCATGTAAAATTAGTCATAAGCTGTGAAATAATGCTGAATTTCTAGTGAGAAATTTTGTTTCCATATCAGCTTTACCTCTAGTTGGATAATGCCATACAAGTTTTATTAAACTTCTCTTAGACATAGTTTGCTCATATATAATACTGGAATGACAATAATTTCCTCACTTGTTATGAGAATTAAATTAAATGAAAGAACATAGATGAAATTGCCTAGTACTTGCTGAACTCTAATGACAGATACATATGTGTTTGTATATATACAAATGGACACATAACTATTGCATTCTCTCAGAGGTTGCATGGATTTTATTTCAGATTTTCATGATATATATTCAATCATTTTAAATCAAATGTATTGAGGTGTTTTTAGATACAAAAGATGTATGCTTTCAATTGTTCGATTTGATAAGTGGTTTTAGTTTCCCAGGACTGATAATGAAGTACTACAGACTATGTGGCTAAACAACAGTTCTGGAGGCTAGAAATTTGAGATGAAGATATCGATTGGCAGGGCCATACTCCCTCCAAGGTGCTAGGGAAGGATCTTTTCTATGCCTGTCTCCTATCTTCTGTCGATTTACTGGAAATATTGTGCATTCCTTGGCTTATGGAATTAATCCAATTTTCACATGGCATTCTCTCTGCATGTGGATCTGCTTCCAAATTTCCCCTTTTTATAAAGACAACAGTCATACTGAATTAGGGACCTACTTCATCTT